GAGGTCGCGGTGCCATCCTATATCAAATGCAATCATCAATACAGAGCAAACATTCACACACACTCACATATCAGAGTATAATCACAACGGACTTATCATAGGGTCACTACCCATCCCCACAAATTTACAAGGATACTACCGCTCTGATACCACTATTGTAACGACCCTAGAAATCGCTACTATAATGATGTCTTCGCAAAGTAGTAAACAAGTAAATAACATCTATTTTACATTATATTACTGTAATTGTAACATAGATTGAAGTTCCAGCTCACTAACTGAACTTCAAAATATAGTAACATAATTTATTTATATATTATACATGTAAAAGTAGCTCCCTCGAAGCTATCCCACTCGAACTATCCCCGTCGTCCAGGAGTCACATCTCCATCTCTCAACTCCCGATCTCGCTCCCACATAAAAGTGATCATCGCAGTCCCCTCCACATGGAAAAATAGGGGTAAGTATTAAATCATTCGATATAATAAAACAGATATAGAAGTAATAATTATATATTATGATAAATTACAAAATCATCAACACATTAAGACACCTATACCCTAACTATGCCCGAACTCAGAGGCTATCATCTGTGGGCACATTGTGATCGGCACCCGCAATACCATTCTGACCACCCTCCACACAAAGTAGGATTACTGGCGCCCTTCATCACTCATACTGGAGTACCCCTTCGAGCGCGCCACCAGTCATCCCCCCATCGACTTCTCACCACCTGATCTCATAGTCTACCTGACCCGACCAATCAGTGAAGTCTGGGACCTCATTCAGAATCCTTTGACATAGTTATTACACTAAAGTACTATGTACCACCCCGGGTACCATTCAAACATAACAAAAATTATTCACATTTGCCGGATTCTGGACCACCTGTCCTCATGGCTCATTCGGGTCAATAAAATAGGATTTGACTGATTCTGGCATCAACCCTCTGGCTCAGTCTAGCCAATATATAACGTCTCAGGACTGATTCTGGGCATTAGCCCTCAGGCTCAGTCTGACCCACACACGTCACAACACACTACTTTCATTCTCTCTCTCTCTCTCTCTCTCTCTCTCTTTATATATATATTTTCCTAAAATTATTTCTGAAATCATTTCCGAAACTATTTCCGAAACTATTTTCGAAATCATTTTCGAAATCATTAAATTACTATTTTTCCCTTAATCTTTTCTTAAAATTCCATGTATGTCCCTAAATGACTATTTTACCCTTGGTCATTTTTTAAAATTCCTTCCATGTCCCGAAAATGACTATTTTGCCCTCGGACATTTTCAAAAATTTCTTCCATGTCCTGAAAATGACTATTTTACCCTTAAACAATTTCAAAAATTTCATTTATGTCCCTAGGATATAAAATGACTATTTTGCCCTTGAACATTTTTAAAAATTATATTTATGTCCCTAGGATGTAAAATGACTATTTTACCCTTGATCTTTTTAAAATATCCCCACCATATCCCTTTCTTCTTCCTTCGTCCAAGAATGAGTGTCGAATTTTGCGGATTTTGGCGGATTTCAAATTACTCAGCTTTTAGACAACCAAACTAGTCCAAAATCGAAATTAAACATGAATTATATCTAATTTAAGTTAAAAATAGCAATTTTACCATATAATTCATCCTTAATTTCAAGAATTTAATCAATATTTAAAACTTTGCAAAATATGAATAGTAATCACCTCTAGTACGCCATTTTCAAAATCCAGGTTTCAAATTTCTCAGTTTCAATCACCCAAATTAGTTCCAAATCAAAATTAAACCATAAATATGTTCAATTTAAGTTAAAAACAACAATTTTATTATATAATTCATCCTTAATTTCAAGAAATTCAAAAACTTTCAAACGATGAACAGTTCATCAGAATCAGAAATTGTTCAAAATCAGACATTCAAATAATTCATATCTCTACTCCTATTCCTTATTCACACGGTATTCACAAAGTACCTAATAATTCAATTTCATATATTGAATGAATTAAACTTCCCCTTACCTGGTATGGTATTTCTACCGAAGCTTTCCCACTTAATTCAAGCTCTCTCCTGTTTCACCAGATCCTGCACGAGTAGAGTCTCGTTGCTTAAAATTTAGACAATAGAAGAAGAAGAATGAGGAACATGTGATATGGGAGGAAGAATTTCCCACAGAAACCATTCCTCCCCCCTTCGAACATATAAAAAAAAATTTTACTGTGCATGAGGAAAACTTCGTTACGAAGTTTTCTTGCACAGTAAAAAGCATACGTCACAAATTTTCCCCGTTAGACTCGGGACGGGGATGGGTTGGTCCCCACGGGTACGAGTTTAATTGTTATCCCTAGGGCCAAGGTTGAGTGCAGTTGGTTGTGGATGGAACCAGCCAATGACAGATCTTGGTTCATCATTTGCCTGAGACTGTTTAATTGCTCTATTGTTTTCCAATGTCTGGGTTTCTCTTGAATGAAGATTTGACAAGGAATAGGAGGGATATTTATTTCACTTATGTTGGTTTAATTCTCCTTCAATCATTTGTTTGATGGCTTGCAATGATGATTTTATTTTTGTAACTGTTATTCTTTGTGTGTGGGACTATTTGAACATTGTCATGTTTCTTTGGATGTGCTGGTCTGATGCCTGGTCTCTGATTGAGTTGGTTGTTGAAGCCTAAATGGTTCATGTTTAAGTCTAGGAATTCTTGATTCTGATTATTTAACCATGCTCGGTTGTAACATTGGTTTTATTGTGTATTTCAATCTTGTTGATTGCATTCATTCTTGGTATTTTTGTTGATTGCAAGTTTGGGTTGTATATTACCAGATTGGGTTGTTGGTCCCGCGTACCAACCTAGGGTCGTCGGCCCCGCGTATTAGGTCATTTATGACTGTTTTAAATAAACTTTGAGGTACGGGTATGACCGATCGCGTATTTATGTCCTCTCTTTTTTAATAAATTTCGAGGTACGGGTACGACCTGCTTCGTTGTCATGTCCTCTCCCTTTAAACGAACTTCGAGGTACGGGTATGATCATTCGCGTCATCATGTTCTCTCTTTTTAAATAAACTTTGAAACACGGGTGGTCGCATGCGTCATCATGTGTCTTCAAAACGTCAAAAATAATTTTTTTTTTTTTTCAAAAATAGCAAAATTTTCAAAACATTAAGCAAACACATAAACCTTTTTCTTTAAAGAACTACGTAACCCTGATTTCTCATTTTGAATGAGAATACGTAGGAGCAAGGTCTATCCTTGTCGGGCCCCGAAAAACTAAAAAATATTTTTGTCCATTCTCTTCTTTTTCTACTTTTATTCCTTTACTCTCTATTTTGGAGGAAAATAAATATTTTTTAAAATGACATTTAATTTTGCATATTCAACTAAGGGTAATTGTTTTAGGTCGGACGTTGTAGGGTGCTAATATCTTCCCTACTCGTAACCAACTCCCGATCCCCGAATCTGGTTTTTGTAGACCTTGTCTTATCTTTATGATTTTTTCATAGTTTTCTTTAATAAACTATGGTGACGACTCCAAAACTCGATTCCGATTTTTTTAAATCATTTTAAAATTTTTTGGTTTGTCGTCCCATTGCGATTTCAGTTCAGACAATACGGATATAAAATATTTATAATATTATTGTTATTATTATTTAAATATTTGATTACATATATAAGTTAATTCTTTTTTAAGTTGTCAATTAAAAATATAAAATATATAGTTTTTAAGATAATATTTAATAAGTTATTTATTATTTAATTAATTTAAAGTAATAAAAGTTTAAATTATCAATTTTTTAATCTTTTAAAATATAATTATTTTATTAAGATAAAATTTGATATATGACAAGTAAGAATAATAAGATCTAAAAAAAATGATATAATAAAACCTAATAAAGATAATTTATAAATAAAATAATATTAGTTACTACTAAGATTTATGTAAAATATTCATAAAAAGATAAATAAGAAAAAAAATTAACTTTGTGTTTGTCAGATTGGTTGAAAAGATTGAAAAAAACAAATTGATCAGAGAAATTAAAGAAATGTGAAAAAGTGAAAGATAAGAGAAAGAAAATAATGTAATGAACTAAATTATATAAAAAAGATTAAAAAAATTTAAAAGATGGTAGAAAAAAAGTAAAAACGGAAATATAAAATAATAATATAATAAAAAAAGAAAAGAAAATACTTTTAAAATATTAATATTTAAAATTAAAATTAAAATATAAAGTTATAGCAGGAATGTAGACAAGGATGAGATGTGGATAAGGGTGTGGGCGGAACATGGTAAGAATTGTAGTACCGCCCCCTTGACTTTTTAAAGTGAAAAAAATCCAAATCTAAACCTAAATGATCCCAATTCTATCGATTCATTCTTTCCTAATCAAACTTGATACGAATTTAATTATCATACTAATGCCATGTTAAATTCAAATCTTAAATTTTCATTATTTGTGTTCTTTATTAAAATTTGTTCTTCTCCATGGCTATAATCAATTTCAACGGCTATATAAACTCCCTCATATATATATATATATATATATATATATATATAATCAATACGTTAGCCAATGTACTGAGAACTATAAGAGAGGAATCAAATTTGTTTGTTTACAACTAATAAAGGAAACTCTAATAACTACACACATTATTCTCATTCATGCTTTGAAATAAAATGGTATTTGCCAAATCAATTTATTCCAAGCATGTCTAAATCATGCAGTAGATACTTGAAAAAAATTACCACTCATAATATTTTGTGGCGTTCTTTAGAAAAAAAAAATAAAATTGGCAAGAGAATTTGAAGTTTTAAATTATTCTTATTTTTTAGTATCTAACACATACCACCTTTCATTTCCAAGAATTGTTGGTTTTACAACGCACTCACCCTTTCAGATTCGTTCTCTCTGTTCTGCTTTCGGACCAGTGACTCGTGTGACTTGCATTCACTCCCCTCACATTCTATCTCTTCTCTTTCCACAGTGATTCTCAAATTACGTCACGCAACCATGGCGTCACTTTGCCGGCGCTCCCCCGCTGCCGGCGCTGCCTCGTCTTGCGGTCAACTCCACCTCCGCTGTCCGCCGAGAACCGCCGCGGTCCGCTACGGCTGCTCGCCTAAGCGGCCGAGAATCGCGCTGCGGCTTCCGCTGGCGCTGCACGCGGCAAAGTACGGCGGCGCGTGGACGAGATCGGGATTAGAAGAGGATGGCGAGAAGGCGGGACCGCGCTTGTGCGCGGTTGAGGAGTTTGCTGCGGAGAGTGGCCGGAAGAGTGGGAATCGTTCAGCGGAGGTGATTGCCGCCGCCGTGGTGACGGTGGTGATGGGCGTCGGAAACAGAGTACTGTACAAGCTCGCGTTGGTTCCTCTCAAGAACTACCCGTTCTTCCTGGCTCAGCTTGCGACCTTCGGGTACTTCATTTTGCTCAATGTTTCTGTTTCTTCATTCTTGTTGAATTGATGAAGTCGGTGCTTAGTTTTTAATTTAATTACGTATTTGGTTATTTATGATATAATGTTGAATATGTTCTTATTTGTTTTTGAGAGCGCCGAATATGTATTTGGCGTTAAATATATTTAATAGAACTCTCAAATTTTAATTGAGAAACAAGCAACTCATTCTATCTTGTTTGTTGAGTTATACAAGATTATTATTGTTTTTTTTTAATTATTATTATCATATATTGCAAAATTGAAAATTAGGGGAGAAATATTGAATAGAAAATGGAACCATATTCACTGGTAAGAAGCAAGGGAACAAAAATTGTATAGAAAACAGGAAAAATAAGACCAGTTGTGTGCAGATAGAAGCTACGATAGTTAGAAGTGTTTAAAACAAAATGGGTTTTGTCTTTATTATTATTGTTATAATTATAGATTACAAATTCTTATTATATGAAGGTGGTATTAACTTTGAATGGTCATGTTTATCACTCTTTTACCCTATTTTGCTGACTAATTACGACTGATTTTGTAGCAGTGTTAAATTATTGTTTGTTCTCATCTTTCTAATTTTAACAAGAAATAAAAAATGTGGAAAGACATGACGATACGTGTTTTTCTATTTTGGTTTGGGGCTTGTGGTTTGTGCATCGTTTCGCAAATATCAATTTGATGGGTCCTACCCGAACCTTTTCGTGTGGGTCAAAGCATCACTTATGGCTCCCCACTTTCTTTTCTAGTTTGGGGTGAATCTTCTTAATCATCAGGAGTGGGTTTTAGTTTCTAGTGCTGAATATTTGCTAGAAAAGGGAATTATTTGATGGTGTAAGGTTGGGTAAGAATTCGGAATCATTCTGTAATCTCTCGTTAGATAAAAGTGTAAAGCAACGACTTTATGTTTTGTTTGGAGTATGGATGAAATAAAATACAGATTAAGAAACTAGAAAAAGAAATAGAAGATATGTGATCTTATTTTTCTGTTGTTTGGATAAATTTAAAAAGTTGAAAGAAAATAAAGAATTATTTGAAAAATATTTGTATATTAATTGATAATTTTTAAAGACTGAAGTGACACCAAGTTAGTTGGACATATTAACATCTTGATGGTTGGAACTTATTTTAAATTTCTTTACTTTTGGGATTAATATAAGAACGCTTTACGCATTCAGAACCAAAATGGTGTTTATCCATTTTTTAGTCTGACCAATAGCATGAAATGCAGTCTGTCTTGAAGGTTTTATTGTTTACTAGAGTTATTATAACTGACTCTAATGATATTTTCTTTCTTTCTTTCAGATACGTAATTGTATACTTCTCTATTTTGTATATTCGGTACCATGCGGGCATTGTCACCGACGAGATGTTATCAATGCCAAAAACTCCATTTATAGTTGTTGGTCTCTTGGAGGCACTGGGTGCTGCCACAGGAATGGCAGCAGGAGGTAATATTTGTTCTAAATTATTTTTCCCTTTTGCATGTCAAATACTTCTGCCTTCTCCATATAATCAAAATGCTCATGGGCTACATTTTTTTCTTGTTTTAGTCGATTAATAAAATTTCATATTTTCATTTGTGAACTATAAGGATTATTAAGACCAAGAAAATAAAAGAGAAAAAACAGCTGTAGACATATTGATAATGACCATTTTTTTAAGAGTGAATCAATGCATACAACAGCTCCAGTGATATCAAAACTTATGCTCTTGAACAAGAAAAGTTTAGCATAAAATACATTATCTTTACTATCAGCTGTTTTGTTTAAAATGCAAATGCTTTATGGGGATTTAGTTTTACCAATTTTAGATTTTCTGGATGAATTAAGCACATGGTTTTTAGGAGACTTTTGTTTGGGACAGCAAGTGTATTGCTGTACTGTGTGTGATATGTATTCAGTATTATATTTTATTAGTTTATGGATTGGGTTTGTATTAGGATAAATATAAACAACTACAATCTTGATGATATATAGGTTTTGCAAAAAGCATCATATGAGATATAAATTTTTACCAGAAGAGATGTGATGTATTTTGAAGATTTTTGTTTTCATTGTTATACATATTTTATGTTTTCTGCTTAAACTAAAATTTATGATTGATCTTTTCCTTCTGATTCTTCCATATCTTGTAAATATTATTGAAGGTAGTAAAATAAATAATTGGATGGTAAAATTTAGGTTAGTTTATAAAATAATCATGTCTGAATTTCATTAATTATTTGTTTTCCTCTATTATATCAGCAATGCTATCTGGAGCATCAATTCCAATTTTGTCTCAGGTAAAAACCATCAGAAGTCAATGCTCTTTGCCATGTGTTCTTATATTCTGTTACTTCTGCATTTACATTGATGAAATATAAAATTTCAGAATTATTAATACTTTAGCTGTTGACCTTGGAGTACTTCCCACCTACAGAAGCATGATCCATTCCCTTGAATATGTAACCTGGTTGATGGCTGGTCAGATGTCCGAAGCGTAAGACAGCTTGAAAACATGGTGAATGTAACCATCCTGATCTAACCAGTCAAAATTGGTTAAAATTAAAAATTTAGGGTATAATAGCTTATTTACCATGTATTTTCTATCTCATTTATTTGCAACTTGCATTATCATAACATGTAAACTAAAGGTGAATAGTTAACTTATTCCAATTCTCTTGCAGGCTTTTCTTGTGTGGCAAATTCTCCTCTCATTTATTTTTCTTGGGAGGCGATACAAGCTCAACCAACTACTTGGATGCTTTCTTGTGGCAGTTGGTGTGATTCTCACCGTAGCAAGGTCAGTTCATTTTAATTTTGTAGATGCTAAGTTTCGGGTCATATTTGACTAGACTCTTGAATCCTGAGCCTTTGGGCAAAAGAACCTGGTCTACAATGATATTGAACAGGAATCAATATATAAATCTGAGTGGTCATATACATTCTACCACCATTAATAGTTGCTTATGTTTTGTTTTGTCAAATTGATTCAAGTTCATTCATCACTTGCAGTATTGCATGTTACTTCACCCTCTCTCTGTGCCTTGCTTTTAACATGAGAGTTTAAGGGGACGTGGATTATAAAAGTAAAAACCTACTTAATGATTTCAAATTTTATTGACAGATTTCATACTGAACCGCAAACTCAAACTTCTTGAATAAATCTTAGTGATTCCATTAGTACATTCACTCGTATAATTTTTAAAACTATGTCTCAAAAGCAATTTTATCTAGTATTGTAGCATTTTTTTTTAAATTTCGTTCTTTTGAAATTAGAACATTGACATAACATCTTGTAACGTCACACACACACACACACACACACACACATATATATATATATATATATATATATTGCAATTTTGTAATGTAGCTATGTCATGTACAAACTATGTAAACTTTGTGTTTATGCTTGAGCTTTTCTGATTTTACACCTTATTTATTTATTGTAGTGGATCTGGTGCTGGACATTCATTGAAAGAAGCTGGTATATTTTGGAGTCTTTTAATGATAGTTTCATTTTTATTCCAAGCAGCTGATACTGTTCTGAAGGTGGTTGTCTATTTTAATGATTGTTGCATTTATGAGATTTTGGATTTTCTCTATGGTGACTCATGACCTTTTCATACTTTGTAGGAAGTAATTTTTTTGAATGCAACCCGGACACTAAAGGTGTGTGTTGAGACATGTTTGTTTGTCTATTATTACTTATACTCTTTGTATCTTCCTTAGGCTAGGTTAGTTTGGACTAAGGCCCATATCCTCTCTCTTGTATCTCTTTTGCTATAAATACAATTGTATCAGTGACTATGGACATAGTATTGAATCCTAAATAGTTTTTCTCAAGTTGGTATTAGAACGGGTAAGATCCCACACTGATTTTCTGGTACCCTTGTCATCTCCGGCCATCGTGAGCCAACGGCCGCCATTTGCCATTGTCGCCATTGGCCACTACCTCTGTTTGGTCCGGTGAAGGTGGGGTTTTGTGTGCCTCGACGAGCACGACCCACCCCTCACAAATCGCTCCTCCATCTATTACCTCAAGCGTAGTCACGTGTGACTTCTCTAGGAGGTGCTCTCAGGCGCATGTCCCACGCATTGCCTTCAAGTGATCGGAATCAAGGCCGATCACTACTGGTCGACTTGTCGGCGTCTTCCGAGTCTAGTGATGCCCTAACTTTTCTGTTTTGGGAACTTTGGGAGCTAGGCCTCGTGGGTGCTCCTATTGGTTAGTTTTATTTGTCATCTCTGGTTGAGATGGCTTCATCAAGTGCTTTTTCCTTCTTTGCCACTCCCACTAACCAGTACCAGACTCAGTTGGAGAAATTATCTATGCTGGTCTGCATCTGTTGAATTATGGTTTCTAGGTCAGGGGTATCATGACCATCTGGAGAAGGATGTAAACTTTATTTCTACTTCAAAAAGGTCTTAGTGAGAGAAAATAGACTTCCATTTTTGTGCAATCTTATGGTAGTATGTGGAACCTAAAGTTCTTGAGCTTCTCAGGTCATTCAAAACCTGTTCTTCGTTAAGGAAAAATGCTCAAGATATTTTTGCTAACAATATTCAATCTCTTTGATGCAACTCAAAGAGTGACATCTCTCAACTAAACAAGTCATGTCATGATGTCTCACATTGCAAAAGCTAGGGTTGTTGTGGAGGAATTAAAAAGGTTTCTTGTGACAAATTCCTTAGAGGAGTTAAACTCAAAATTGGATAAACTGTATATGGTTCTAATTTTGAGGAGAATGCATTCTGATTTTAATCATGTACGTGATCAAATCTTAGCTGGCGATTAGGTTTCGTCAATAGACAATCTTGTCATGAGGTTGATTCGAGTTCTCAATTTTATGACTGATGAGAATTAGGTAGAGACAGTTGAAACTTCAATTATGGTTGCTCCTCGTGGTCGAGGGGGAGGACACAACAGTCAAGGAGGATGTGGTAGTACAAAAGGTCGTCCACAATGCTCCTATTGCAAGAAGATGGGGTACACACAGGAAAATTACTATTCCTTACACGATTTTCCTGACAAGAATATTGCTGCCGATGTCTCTAAATTTGAAAAACCGTATATGAAGATCTCTGATGAGGAGTATCAGTAGTGTTTGAAGTTCAAATCTGGAAAATTCAGCCGCCAGACTCAATCTTGTTCAATGCCAAGTGTTTCAACAACATGCATTTCTCAATTTGTGGAAGGTCAAAATTCATGGATTCTTGATTCAGATGCCTTTGATTATATATCTGGTAATAGTTCCTCATTTTCTTCCTTCTCCTATCATAACATTCCTCGCTTGATTACTGTGGCTAATGGATCTAAAGTGAAGTCTCAAGGAGTTGACCAAGTTCCTTTAAGTCTTTCTCTAAATTTAAATTTTGTTTTTTTCATTTCTAATTGCCCTTATAACTTGATTTCTCTAAGTCAATTGATTCGCTCTTTGAATTGTTCTATAACCTTTAATTCCAATCTTTTTGTTATTCAAGAACATGGTACGAGTCGTTTGATTGGAAAAGGACATGAATCATGTGGTATGTACTGTTTGAATCCAAGTCATTCGGTGTCATGTCTTGCTTCTCCTGTTCCTAAACTTTTGCATGATCGTCTGGGTCACCCAAGTTTATCTAAGTTGATAGTGATGACTTCTAATCTCAAACATCTTTGGGTTTTAGAATGTGAATCTTGTCAATTAGGAAAGCATGTTAGGTTTATTTAATAACACTCTGAAACTCGATGTAATTTTCCTTTTCAAATATTCATTCTGATGTTTGGGGACCGAGTTGTGTCTCTTCATATGGCTTTCGATATTTTGTAACCTTTAATGATGAATTTTCTAGATGTACTTGGGTTTACTTAATGAAAGACAGATATGGACTTTTATCCATTTTTATGTCCTTTTTCAATGAAATTAAAAATTAATTTGGGAAGATAATTAAAGTTCTCAGAAGTGATAATGTTAAAGAATATTTTTTTTGCCTCCTCTTTTTTTTTTATCTTCTCAAGGAATTTTACATCAATCAACTTGTCCTTACACCCCACAGCAAAATGGTATTTCAAAAAGAAAAATGGGCATCTTATTGAAACTACATGCTCTCTAATGTTGAATGCTAATGTCCTTGTTCTTCATTGGGGAGATTTAGTTCTCACTGCTTGTTTTTTGATTAATCAAATTCTGCATTCCTTTATCTTTCCAGATGATCCTCTTTATTATGTATCTCCTCGTGTATGTGATTGTACCTGTTTTGTAGATAATGTCTCTCTAGGTCTTGATAAGCTAAGTGCTAAGGCCATTAAATGTGTTTTCTTGGGATACACTCGCCTCCAAAATGGGTACAAATGTTATTCTTTATCTACCAAAAGATATTATATGTCTGCTGATGTTACCTTCTTTGAGGAGACACCTTTTTTTTTTTTTTTTTTTTTTCCATGAAGGATAGTTCCTCTATTCATCATGTGCTCCCTATACCTTCATGTGATCCACTTATAATACTTGATTCTTCTCTAATTCAGTCTATAGGTCATACTGATTCTCCTCCTCTTCTCATATATTACCGTAGGATCCATCTTACCCCTTTACCAGTCTCTGTAGATAATCGTGATTCAAACCTTCTATCATGGATCCTTCAACTTCCTCTTCCACTTCTGATTCTGAATGGTCTATTGCACTCAGAAAAGGTATTCGTTTCACTCATAATCCCTTTCCTATTTATAATTTTTGAAGTTATCATCGTCTGTCTCCCTCGTATTCTTCTTTTGTTGTCTCTTTTACTAATACTTTTATTCCTAATATTGTTCATGAGGCTCTTGATCACGTTGGATGATGACAAACCATGATTGATGAAATGTAGGTTCTTGAGCACAATGACACTTGGGAGCTTGTCCCTTTTCCTCTTGGCAAAAAGGTTGTGGGTTGTAGATGGGTCTATGCAATTAAGGTTGATAACAATGGGTCTATGCAGTTAAGGTTGATAACAATGGTAAGGTGGATCGTCTCAAAGCTCATTTAGTGGCTAAAGACTATACTCAGATTTATGGCCTTGACTATTGTGATACCTTCTCTTCAGTAGCTAAGATTTTCACTATTCGTTTTTTCCTTGCTATGACTGCTATTCATCATTGGCCCCTTCACCAACTAGACATTAAAAATGCGTTTCTTCATGTTAAGCTTGGGGAAGAGATTTATATGGAGCAACCTCTTGGCTTTGTTGCTTGAAGCAACAAAGCTACACTGATCTCTTTATAGCTTGAAGCAGTCACCCCGAACTTGGTTTGGGAAATTCAATCATGTAGTGCAATTATTTGGCTTGAAAAGGAGTGAAGTAGACTACTCAGTGTTTTATTGTCATTCCTCTTTAGACAAGTGTGTTTATCTTATGGTTTATGTTGATGATATTGTCATTACAAGCAATGATTATACTAGGATTAGTCAATTGAAGAATCATCTGTTTGGTCACTTCCAAACCGAATATCTTAGTCAATTGAAATATTTTCTTGGTATTGAAATGGCCCAACCAAAGGAAGGTATGATCATTTCTCAAAGGAAGTATGCTCTTGATCTTCTGAAGGAGACAAGTTTAACAAATTGTAAGCCCATTGATAACCCAATGGATCCTAATCAGAAATTGATGGGAGATAAAGGAGAAAGGTTGTTAGATTCAGAGAGATATAAGAGATTGGTTGGTAAACTCATTTATCTCACTATTACCAGATCGAATCTCTCTTATGCAGTTGGAGTAGTTAGTCAATTCATGCAAAATCTTTGTTCTTATCACTGGGATGCTTTATGTTAAAGGGGCCCCAGGACAAGGATTGTTATATGAAGATAAAGGTAATTCTCAAATCCTAAGCTATTGTGATGCAGATTGGCCTGGTTGTCGCATTGATAGAAGATCTACTATTGGGTATTGTATCTTTATTAGAGGGAATTTGATCTCTTGGAAGAGTAAAAACTAAAGTATTATTGCTCGATCTAGTGTAGAGGTTGAGTATAGATTTATGGTGCTTGCTACATATGAACTTGTGTGGATCAAACAACTTCAAGAATTAAAATTATGTGATAATGAGCAAATGAAGTTGTTTTGTGATAATCAAATGGCTCTCCACATTGTATCCAACTTTCATGAAAAAACAAAGCATATCGAGATTGATTGTTACTTTATTAGAGAGAAGTTATTGTCTAAGAAACTTGTAACTGAATTTGTAAGCTTTAATGAACAACTGACAGACATTTTAACTAAGTCTTTGAGAGGATCTAGGATTCAGGTCATATGTTCCAAGCTTTGGTGCATATAATCTATATGCTCCAGCTTGAGGGGGAGTGTTGAGACATGTTTGTTTGTCTATTATTACTTATTCTCTTTGTATGTTCTTTAGGCTAGGTTAAGGGTTTGGACTGAGGTTCATATCCTCTCTATTGTATCTCTTTTGCTATAAATACAATTGTATTTATTAGAATTACTATAGTTAGGTGGCTGTTAGGAGTATTATAGGTAGCTGTTAGAATTAATACAAATTGGTAGTTGTTGAAAGAGTTGTACCTATCTGAATCTATATATATGAGATCATGAGTGGTGTGATTAACCCTCTAAAAATACTTATCTCTTTTTAATATTAAGTGTATCAGTGTCTATGGACACATTATTGAACCCTAAATATTTTTTTCAAGGGTGTGTACACTGATGAATTTTTTTAGCTCATATGTAATGTATATGACTCAGGAAAGGCATAGCATAGGGCCATTTTAGACTAATTGATTATACTTCTAGTGAACTTGGTAGCCTAAGACATCTGCCGCAAACTTCACATTTAGGAAAAACCTTCACATAAATGACTGAAAATTATTGGCTAATTCTTTTAAAACTTCATAAAAATCACTAGTCACCATACTCATGCTTCATAGATTCATTTATATTGTGAAGTTAAACAATAAATCTTTTTGTCATTCAAGATTCTTAAGTGAAAATCATCCCTTTTTGTATGATTATTGTTAATTATTTTAGTTTTTACTTTATGATACGATAATGTTGTAATCAATATTCAATGTTTGCTGAAACAGGGGGGTTCTTTGGATATGTTTGTTGTAAATTCATTTGGGTCTGCATTCCAGGTGCACTGCCATTGTCATGAAATTTGTACTTCTTTTTATTTAGGATATAAATAAAAATGGAGGCCTAAATGCATGAGACCATACTGACTGTAGGCACTATTCATATGCCTTCTCCTCCCCTTCTTATCAAAATTATGGGGCATCCCCTTTGGTCAACTACCAAACTATCTTAAAGATGGCGCTGCCTGCTTTCTGAATGTTGGGACACTGTCAAGAGGTAAGCAACTATATTCTCTCTTCCATATTGGCATTTCTTACAGAAGGTGATAACCAAAGATAGTCTTTGGCTATTAAATGTGTTATAGCTTAGAGTCAAATTCATCAATGATATTTATGACCTAGATCTACCCTCAAGTTACCTGGAAAGATTATTTTAAGTGTAAAATTTCATGTATATAAAATGCCTGACATAGAACCATATCCTGCTTCATGAGCGAAACCCCAATAAGAAAATAAAATAGAAATAGAATCTTGCTGAGCTTAAGAGATAGGTTTTTTTTTTTTTTTTCCCTTCAAATATCTTAGTATTTTGGTTATCATTATTTTTGCAGCTGTTATTAAATGTGACATTCTTCGAAAAACATAAAGTTGTGGTAGCTTGCTTGCATTTTGCTAATCTTATAGTCCTTGTAGAATATTTTAACCTGCATGGTTTCTGTTCAAGTAGATGTAAAACAGAGTACATGGGATGTAAGTTCAATGTGCTGACATTTGTTGGGGTTGAAAATGGAGAATTGTATATTTGACCATACCACAAGTTGCACGATTTAGATGTTTTGGATCCATCTTACAAAATAGTATGGAGGAGTGGTTCAAGTGTTATTTGTGTTGCTCATTCTCTATAGGAAGATTTTATTGCATAGCCATAAGAGCAACAATACTTAATTGTACAACATGTTGGGCTGTAATATGCTAACAAGTGCCAAAGATGAGTGTCGCGAATATGCACTTGATCTACAAGAACAAGATTAGATTGGGAATGATTCAAATGAAGATATTAGAGGGAATGTAGAAGAGACACAGGTTAAGGAGACATGGTGATGGTGTGGCCATGTTATAAGAAGACATATAGAAGCCGAAAGATGGAAAATAGTCCAATAATTTTAAGTGAAGGGGAAAAAACAAAAACTAATTGAAACAATTAAAAGAATTAGATGCCTTTACAAAGATTTGTCTTTGATAGAACTTAATGGCATCATTTGATCCATGTAACAGAATCCAGCTAGTGGGAAAAAGTTTTTGTTGATCCTTCAAACATCTAAATAAACAAAACATTTCAAATTCTTTTTTCCCTTTTCTTTGTGTTTCATTCTTTTTGTTAAAAGCTCCACTACATTTTTCAACCTACTTTATGGAAAGTCTGGCAGCTTTTGAGTGTTATTTATGTGAACTGGTTCGGTTAATTTCCTATTCTGATTACAAACACAGACCAACCAAACATTTGGCATATATAATTATTGATAGGGTTCTGCCTTGTCATTAACAATGCTGACAGTGGTAGGTGGCTAATTAAATAAAATGTTATTATATTCACATAGTTTATGAGTATCGAAAACTGTTCTTGGCCAGCTTGGTTCCAAATCCAATTTTTTTAATTTATTTTTTGTAACTCTAGTGTAGAACTTGCAGAGAGTAATTTTGCATTGGATTCGGTTTGCAGGTTGTGTTGGAGCTCCCCTGCTCCCGTTGTTGTTTATTATTGTCAACATGGGCTTCAATATCTCATTGCTTCATCTCATCAAGATCTCTTCAGCTGTTGTCTCTAGTATAGCCTCCACATTTTCAGGTATTTAATTTGTTTCTTTCAAAGTATATATACGTAAATGAGGAAATTATTCCTGAGATAAAGTGAATAACAGTAATGTCTCTGGAGGAAAATGGACATCTGTAACCGGTTACAATTTGTTAATCATGGGTAACATATTTGCAGTTTTAGAAATATTGACTAAAGTCAGAAGGAAAGGTTAATCAATGCAATGATTAATAGTGTTACCCAAACCTAGCTCTACTAACCACTTTTCCATGTCAGAAAGCTTCTATCACATTAAGACTTATGCTATAAATTTTACCATAAAATACACCTAGAAGCTTATTGAGGCTTTATGGAAGTCATAAATTTTCATAGCTGAAATAAGCTCCCCGTGATTGAGTTATCAAAGACTTCCACTATGTTGGCATGAATTTGAATACATGTATATATATATATATATATATGCGAATTTTCTTGCTTTTGGAGAGGGATTTGCTGAAATATTAAAGTTTTATTTTCTTGGTTATTGAAAATTCTGAGGAAAATCCAACTGAACTGATTCAATTTGGGTTGTGGCAGTTCCAATTGCAATCTATGTGTTCACGCTGCCATTGCCATACCTTGGTGTTGGGGCTTCTCTTCCAGCAGGCTTTGTTGCAGGGGCCACTATTCTTATCATGGGATTACTCATTTATGCATGGACCCCTTCAAGTGGTTCTTCCAGTGCATCCATCACAGGATCCAACTAGAGAAGCTTGGAGTTTCCCCTAGTCCAAAAGGATGTATAGGTATAGGTTGCCCCAATTCTCATTACAGCAAATGGTACAATGTACAATGGAAGCAGTGGTCCACTTTGTGATTGATGATCATCACAAGATATACTCTTTTCTTTTAATAAAGTGATAGATAGTCCCAACAGAAATTAGGAAACGAAAAGTGAAATGTTCCTCAGTGCTCCCTGGTCAATAACAAACCATTTAGGTTTTTTATCACTCGCATCTTATGGATAGGTCTAAATCAAATTTTGTTTACAGTTTTTAAATAATAATCATTAAAAGAAATTGAGGGGTTAGGATATTTCATTAAGAGGAAATATAGATGAGAATGTCATTATGTGATTGCAGGAGTTTGGGTTTTTGTATTGGTTACATCACGCTTTTGTTTAAATACACTTAACTAGAGTTAATTCTGCTCACGGTCGCAAACCTGCATTCTCTATTGAACACAGACAGGATTTGAACTTGTGATTTTTGTACTTATACTGTCGGGATTTGAACCCGAGTCAACTTGGTTAAACGGTGAATCATGCTAACCCAACTTGGTCAAATCTTTATATCTAGAAGATTAAGCATGAAGTTACAGTTTAAAATGTAAATTAATTGTTCAATTTATAAAGATATACTAAAAAAAATAAATCAATTTTTAAAAATTAAAATAGTGCAATGTTAAAAATGATTTAATTTCAAATCAACAGGAGTGAATTTAATTGAAAAATTGTCTCGGATGTAAATCATAATGAAAAATAAAAATACTTGAAATAAAAAAGAAATACACATAATATTAAAATAAAAAAACGTTGAAAGCCAATCAACAAAAATTGAATAATATTAGAGAGTGGGTCATATATTAAATGAAATAATGTTTTATTATAAGAGATGAGAGGGATTAATAATCAAACACATATTAAAATAAACTATTTAAATTAAAATATTTATTTAAAGGTTATTGCTAAATATTTTATTTCTTTCTTTTTAATATAGAAATTTCTAAATGATCACAAAATAAAAATAATTTTTTTCTAAAACATTTTAATGATTTAATTTTGAAATATCGTAATTATTAACGTATCACCTTTCACTCGATGTTTTTGCATGACCACCAGAATACCTATCATGTCACCAATGTTTGTCATTGTGGGTTTTACCATAACCATTCCCTTTTACTAGTGTGGTGGTTTTGATGAGAACAACAACTAACGCTGGTGATTTAGTGGTCATGACAATTGTTTAGGTAGAAATATAGTGGACATGATAGTGTCAAAAGTAATAGAAATAACAATAACAATTATGATTATGATAGTTTTATTGACATGATAATGATATCAATAAATGGGAATTTTGTTATTGTAGAAGATTGCGTATTGTAATTATTTTTTGTGGTTGGAGATTGATGTAATTAATGTTTATGGAAGCCATTGAAAAACGAGGAAGAAGATAAAGAGGTCGTAGAAAAAGCTATATACTTAGAGGTTGAAAATAAAATATGTTATGATTAGTGTGGTAGTTAGTTCGATGATAGATATAATAATTACATTTGGTTATGTTGAAAAATGTAATAAGATTTAGGGTTTATTATATGAAATGTAATAGAATTTTGTGGATTATTTTAAAGAATAATTGTAATTTTTTTTCATCAATCTTTACTATTTTTATTGGCATATGAATATAATGAATAATGGAGGATTAACATGTGAATTAAATTATCTTAGCACAAAATAACAACAAAAGAAAATTAACTTAATAACTTTTTTAAAAAATGAAACAAAGTTTAAATCTTTATTATTGAACAAAAATTTTTTTATATTGGTTATTTTGAATATTTTATGTCAATTTTTGAACCGACATTAATATAAAAGACATAGAAAGTCTTCATTATTTATGTCAATTCTTGGAATAACATTAAAAAATAACTTTCTACGTGGATTGCACATATAATCTTAATAGAAAGTTTGAAAAAGAGGATGAGAAATGAATATGGCGTAAACACATTCTATAACGGTGTTATTATTTTAATCGTCATAATAACATTTTTATGTTAGTTCATTTGATGAACTAATATGAAAAATTTACTTTTTATGACGGTTAAGATAACAACTGTTATAGAAAATTTATTTTTGTTTAACGGTTTTGGTATCACTTGTTATAAAAAAGTGCACTTTTTATGTTGGTTATACTTGTAATTGACATAAAAATTTATAGTTTTTTAATAAAATTTTTGATTTTATACATCAACCTTCCTACGTAATAATAAATACATATATTTTGGGAAAATTATACTCAATAAATTTATAATATATTTAATAATAACATACAAAATACATAAAAACATTAAGTGTACATATGATGTTGCTTAATTTACATCATTCTAAGTTAAAACAATTTATAAATTATAAAAAATACTTAAAAAATGGGAAGTTTATTGCATTCTCATGTCTTGTATAACTTCTTCTTTCAATAATTAAAAACAAAAAAAGTAACAAATAAACCTCTTCCAACCAATCAAACATCTCCACAAAGAAAAATGTTAATAATGATCATTGCTATAACAACTAGATTCCAAGTTTAAGAAATTTTTTCTACAGTAGCACGTATTCGTTTTTTAATTACTCAAATAGCATACTGTACGTTTTATTTACCTAGATAGCACAGTTTTTTGTAAGTTGAGAATTCGATTTTCCGGAATACTGAAACCTAAACGTAATTGTATTTGATAATTTTTTCAAACAATTTAGAATTCGATTTTCCGACAACTGAATTTCGAATAGTTTTCGTTTTATTTTGTTAAGAAAAAAAACTAACTAAAATATATATATATATATATATATATATATATATATATATATATATAATATGTTATAATATTTTATTTAACATTTACGAGTTTTAAATTAGGTATTTAAAAAGATTTGTATATTTCTAAAATTAATAATATATTTAGATTTATTGTTGAAAGTAGTAAAATAATATTTTTAAAATATATTATTAAATATTATATTTAAATTTATTTGTATGATTAAACTTTTTTTATTTTTTTATTTATTTGATCTTATAATTTTTTTAGAAATTAATAATAAATTAGGAGGATAATAAAAATCTTAAAAATTATATGTATATAAGAAGAAATAATATTTTGATGTAAAATTATATATATATATATATATATATATATATATTCTAAAATATAATTTATATTAATTACTATAATATAAAATATATATTCTAAAATATAACTTATTTTCATTTATATATATTATAGAAATTAAAATAAATTATATTTTAGAATATATATATATATATATATATATATATATTAAATATAAATTATTTTCAAGTTGATAATTATTATTCTAATTTATGCAAAATATATATATGATAGCGGTTCCAGTTTAACCGCTCTTAAAAATGATCTGTATGATAGCGGTTCCAGGCTTAACCGCTCTTAAAAGTGATTGTATGATAGCGGTTCAGTTTAACTCGCTATTATATGTTAAAAACTAATCGATTATTTCAAAAAGTAATCGATTAGTTTTTCATACTAAGAACCGGTTATTTTTTTAAATAATTGATTAATTTTTAAATAATCAATTAGTTTTTCAAATATATATTAAATAATTATAAATAAAAAAATATATCAAATTAAAATTAAAAAAAAATATTTTTAAATTATATATATTATATAAATTATAAATATAAAGTTAAAAAAATTATATTTAAAATTATAACCTTAAAAAATATAATTTAAAAATATTATATAATTATATATAAGAAGAAATAATATTTTGATGTAAAATTATATATATATATATATATATATATATATATATTCTAAAATATAATTTATATTAATTACTATAATATAAAATATATATTCCAAAATATAATTTATTTTCATTTATATATATATATATATATATTATAGAAATTAAAATAAATTATATTTTAGAATATATATATATATATATTAAATATAAATTATTTTTAAGTTGATAATTATTATTCTAATTTATGCAAAATATATATGATAGTGGATCCAGTTTAACCGCTCTTAAAAGTGATCTGTATGATAGCGGTTCCGAGTATAACCGCTCTTATAAGTGACTGTATGATAGCGGTTCCACGTTAATCGCTATTATAGTTAAAAAACTAATCGATTATTTGTAAAAGTGATCGATTAGTTTTTGATACTGAGAACCAGTTATTTTTTTTAAATAATTGATTAATTTTTAAATAATCAATTAGTTTTTCAAATATATATTAAATAATTATAAATAAAAAATATATCAAATTTAAATTAAAAACAATTATTTTTAAATTATATATATTATATAAATTATAAATATAAAGTTAAAAAAATTATATTTAAAATTATAACCTTAAAAGGTATAGTTAAAAAAATTATATAATTGTATATAAGAAGAAATAATATTTTGATGTAAAATTATATATATATATATATATATATATATATATATATATTCTAAAATATAATTTATATTAATTACTATAATATAAAATATATATTCCAAAATATAACTTATTTTCATTTATATATATATATATATATATATAGAAATCAAAATAAATTATATTTTACAATATATATATATATATATATATATATATTAAATATAAATTATTTTTAAGTTGATAATTATTATTCTAATTTATGCAAAATATATATGATAGCGGTTCCAGTATAACCGCTCTTATAAGTGACTCGTATGATAGCCGTTCCACGTTAACCGCTATTATAGTTAAAAAATTAATCGATTATTTCAAAAAGTGATCGATTAGTTTTTCATACTCGAGAACCTAGGTTATTTTTTTAAATAATTGATTAATTTTTAAATAATCAATTAGTTTTTCAAATATATATTAAATATTTATAAATAAAAAAATATATCAAATTAAAATTAAAAAAAATTATTTTTAAATTATATAAATTATAAATATAAAGTTAAAAAAATTAT